CAGGTGAGGAGGAGGAGGAGCTGAGGCCCAGAGCGCCTGCGCCTCATCTTGGCGCTGTTCTGACCAGGGCTGGGTCTTGAACCCGGGGCCCAGGTGCTGTTCTGAGGCGTCCTGTTCATGTCTCAAGGCCGATGCTCTTCCACCCGAGCCGAGCCGCAGCTCCACTAGTGTAGACCGATGCCGTTCCAAGCTGCAGTAGGAGTGTCTTCCACGTCTAGCTTTGTTCTTTAGCTTTCTTCGACTTTTCTCACTTTCTCTTCTCAACTTGTTGACCCCAAAGACGTCTCCTTTTCCTTATTTCCTTCTTCACTCCCACCCACATTCTCCATTTGCTCCCCATTTTGTAAGGCACTCTTGCCTTCATTACTGAATCTTCTTTTCGTGCCGGTCCTGCTTTTACCCTTAGTGGCCGTTGTAACTTTTCCAGGTCCGCATTTACATGGACCTACATGTGTGTGCTCGAGGGGGCAGGCAGGACAAAAGCAATGTTCAGTGCGAGTTCCAAGTTCAGATTTCCTCCTTTCAACAAGCACAGCATTCTCCCTCTGTAGAGAAGACCGTTTGCCCCTTCTATTTTCTTTCTGTTATCATGTTCACAGTCTTCATCTCACCTCTTTTTAAAGTAGCATTATTTGGGCTAGGATGTAGATCAAGCTATGGAATGCCTACCAACAAGTCAGCCCTGAGCTCAAATCCCAGAACTACAAAAATAAAACCACCATCATAACAAAAAGGGAATTATTTTACTTGGTGGCCAAGAGCTGGAGCCTGTGCAAAATAGGTGACAACAGCACGTGTGTGTGTGTGTGTGTGTGTGTGTGGAGAAGCATCATCAGGTTAAAGTGAAAAAAGGTCAGGTAAACAAGAGCCAGAGAACAAGCTTAATTGGACTTGATACAAACTCAGGATAAGCCAAACTACCACAGTTCAGTTATTTGGAACCAGGAAACTCAAACTGAGCCCCACAAGTCATGAGTGAATACATTAGCCCATGTAGATACACACTAAAATTCCAAGATTAGTCCTACATAAATCTCAAGGTACCCAAAATGTAAGGCAGACAAGGAGGCGGACTGGGGTTTATCCTGTAACAAGAGACAGTTACTTGTAGGCATTAGTGAAGTTTCCATTTCATAGGATCCAAACATTTAAGTACTGACAAAAAACAAAAACTGCCACTGCTAGACATCTTGAAATTTACTTTTCTCCCTTTGTATGATTCCACAAAGCAGTGCAATCATTTTCATTGCTCTGCTCAGGTAAGGCCTGCCTGTCCAAAGGATTCATGCTCCAGTTTAAATTTCAGGCCCAGCAAAGACATAACTAATCTTATGCTAGGTGACATTTTTGTTTCCTTCTCTTGTTTGTAAATGCTGGCTGGTTAGTCAGGAAAAGGGACAGAAAGGTTGTTCACATTTTATTTTCACACCTGCATTATCAATGCTTTTTGTTTTTAAATCCAGGTTACAAGAAAACACAAAGAAGAAATTAGGCCATGATTGTTCACACTGTAAACGATCGCAGAGTTAATACTGAACTCCCTTAGGCTCTGAATTTAGGATCTGATTTAAGTGCAGCTTTCCAGGACTGTGTCTGGCTTACGGTGAGGTACACCACAAATCCATCTTCACTTTCCTCCAAGGACAAGGTTTTCCATTCACGGGGTGGAGGACGAAAGCGCTTCTTAAGGGTGTCTGCGGCCTCCAGGCTGGCCCTCCTCCCCTTGCCTAGGATCCGAGGTTTTGAGGAATTCGGCTGATTAAGGACTACACCCCACACACATCCTCACCCACCTCTCCACACCCTCACCCCCACACCCCCACCCCCACACCCCCTCACCCCCCCCACACACCCACACCCTCACCCACACACACACCCTCACCCACCCCCCACACCCTCACCCCCACACACCCACCCCCACACACCCTCACCCTCCCACACCCTCACCCACACACACACATACACCCACACACGAATACACCTCCACCCCGGCTCCGGCCGATCCACCGCCTCACGCGAGCTCTGAAGCCTCGCCCGGGTCTGGGCACAGGCAGAGACTACGCTGTGCAGGCCGCAAAGTGGCCGAGAAAGACTTCGACAGCCAGGCTGTCTCTCACCTGTCCCGCTGTGAGGGGCCGCGAGTGCGCGGGAGCCCGCGGGCCGGGTCCTCCGCCAGCGGAAGCGGGGTCGGAGGGCTTGGCCGGGGACGCGGCCCTCACCCCAGAACCGGGCCCTCACCCCGACCCCGGCCCTCACCCCGACCACGGCCCTCACTCCGACCCCGGCCCTCACCCCGACCCCGGCCCTCACCCCTCACCCCGACCCCGGCGCTCACCCCGTCCCCGGCGTCAGCTCTCGAACCAGCCGGCCAAGTCGCCCACGACCTGGGCGCGGCCGCCCGCCGCCTGCACGGCCTCGCAGGCCCGGCACCACGGCTCGTCCCAGAAGGAGGTGAGGTGCACGGCGAAGCGGCGGCGCCAGCGGAAGTAGCGGCGGTAGACGGCCGCGTTGCGGTCGAGGAAGCGCAGGTGAGCGGCGAGCGCGGCGGGGCTGGGGAAGTCGTCCACGTGGATGAAGGCGCCGCGCGGCACGAAGCGCTCGTAGTTGGCGCGGTCCGGGCCGAGCACCACGGGCACGGCGCCGGCCAGCAGCGCGTTGCGCCACAGCTTCTCGGTGATGTAGTCGCGGTGCCGCGAGTTCTCGAAGGCCAGGTAGAACTTGTAGCGCGCCAGCAGGTGCAGCAGCCCGCAGCGCGGCACCGGGCGCCCGGGCCCGCCGCGCCCGAACACGTCGATGGGCAGCAGCGCGCTCAGCCGGCGGTAG